TTCAAGTACTCAATAGCCACATGTTGCTACCCTATTAGCACAGATACAGAACATTTCACCATCACAGAAAGTTCTGTTGGAGAGCGCTGTACTAGACAGTGTACAACATCAAAACAAGGGAGTGAACCAAGAAAGAGAAAGACATTGGGGTCTAGAAAACATAAAATCAACAAATATTAAAGTGGTAGGGGAATCCCTAGGATAAGAGTCAAGAGAGATCCCCAGAGAGCTGTCCGAAGGCTCCGAGAGCCACCAGTCCAGACTGAAGCAGGGGACGGGGCTCCAGGGATATCTCTCCAAGAAGAATCAATGGAGAGACTACCTAACATTCTGAATATCCAGAGAGATTACACAACGGGGGATGGTTAGTGATAGGGAGAGACAAACCAAAGAAACAAACACAAGACAATCATTAACATCAGGGTAAACAAATTATTACAAAAAGGAAACATAATGATAGTACATACCACATGGCTCAGCTAAGAATGGTATAAATTGGTTAAAATATGTAAAGACTGAATCTGATGTCATCTAAGTTATGACATAACTGTATTGGAAAAGGTAAAAATGCATTGTGAGAGAACAGGGGAGATAAAGAATGCTAAATCTTAAATCAGTTTTCATATAGTAAAGTCAACAGATGATGCCTAAAATAGAAAAATCAAGATTTAGCAATATCAGGATGTCTTTTTTTTTTTGGTGAGGAAAACTGGCCCTGAGCTAACATCTGTTGTCCATCTTCCTCTTTTTTGCTTGAGGAAGACTGTCCTGAGCTAACATCCGTGCCAATCTTCTATTTTATATGTGGGACACCACCATAGCATGGCTTGATGAGCGGTGTGTAGGTCCGCACCCAGGATCCGAACCTGCAAACCCCAGGCCGCTGAAGCAGAGTGTGAGAACTTAACTACTATGCCACCAGGCCAGCCTCGGGATGTCTTTTAAGGATGTAAACACTAAAAGAATCTACCAAAAGAGCTGAAAGTGGTTGCCTATGGAGAATCAGAAATGGAAGGCAACAGAGTAAAAATATTTGATGCTTTAACTTATGTGTATGAGCAACATAAAAATTATAAAATAATATCCACATTGGTTTGAAATTAAAAATTAAACTGATTAATCAAATTAGTAGTATACACATATTGATTAGAAATATGGAGGTAAATGAGTATTTTCTTCAGGGGAGCAGATTGGGGGTGGGCCAGGGGACAGCTGTTTTTGTTAAAAGCCTTCTAGCAGTATTTGAACTTACACTTTTAAAGCTCCTATGTGCGTGCATTACTTTGATAAAGATGACTATTAAAAAGCAAATGATATAAAAAAAAGATAGACAGTAACAAGCATTGGTGAGGCTACTAAGAAACTGGAACCCTCATACATTGCTGAAGTGAATGTAAAATGGTACAACCACTCTGGAATAGAGCTTGGCAGTTCCTTAAAATGTTGAACACAGATTTACATGTGATCCAGCAATTCCACTCCTAGGTATCTACCCAAGAGAAATGAAAACGTATGTCCACACAAAAACTGTACACACATGTTTATAGCAGTATTATGCATAATCGTTCCAAATGGGAAACAACCCAAAATATCCATCAAGTGATGACTGGATAAACAAAACGTGGTATATCCATACAGTGGGATACTATTCTGCAATAAAAGAGAATGAAGTATGGATGCATACTACAACATTGATGAACCCTGAAAGCATTAGGCGAAGTGAAAAAAGCCAGACGCAAAAGACCACATAATGTATGATGTCATTTATGTGAAATGTCCAGAAAAGAGAAATATATAGAAACAGAAAGTAGATTAATGGTTGCCAGGAGTTAGGGGTGGGAATGGGGAGTGACAGCTAATGAATATGAAGTTCCTTATTAGAGTGATGGAAACATTCTAAAATTAGAACATGGTGATGACTGCACAATTCTGTAAATACATTAAAAATCACTGAATCGAACACTTAAAATGGGTGAACTTTTTGGCAGGTAAGTTATACCTCAATCAAGCTGTTTATAAAAAAGCAAATGATGAAGTCTGTTTAAAAAAGAGAACTTGGGGGCCGGCCCGGTGGCGCAAGCGGTTAAGTGCGCGCGCTCCGCTGCGGCGGCCCGGGGTTCGCTGGTTCGGATCCCGGGCGCGCACCGACGC